TATGCCTACGTCTCGGACTGCTATAGATCTTTTACTAAAGAGAAAAATTACAGGTGTTTATAAAACACTCATAACTCATAAGAAAGCTCTCTAATAGTGGGAGAAAGAAATGATTTGGGATGATTTTGAAGCTAATGAGCTAGGATATTTATAGTTGAAGCTTAAGGACTAACGTTATAAATACCCTAAAGTATAATGACTACATTTTAATTTTACCATGTTCAAAAAAATCAACATTTTCTCCTGCCAACTTGCACCACCGAAAAATATAGCTAAATTTGACAATTTCTGCTGAAATCCCACCGAAAGTGCTGACCACTTTTGTTGACAATTCAACAATCTCTCACTTGAAGACTGATTTTAATCTGTCTTCACACCTCGATCAATGCAACAACATTTCTGCTCTTGTTACTGTAGCATGTCAACTGAAGCTGAACACAACTTCAGTTTGTCCGTAGTTACCGCCCTGTAAACCTACTTGTTATTGGGCAGTTTCTCCGTGGTTGCCTTGTCCCTCAACATCTTAGCTCCCTTCGACTCTTGTCCACTAGTCTTTGAAGGATTATTCCTCACTTGAACATCCTCTGCAAGCCCTGCTTCAACCCTTCTCTTAAGATGGTCTCTGAAGTCATGTTCTCTACACGAACATGCTCGCCAAACTCCTTGGACACGGACAACTCTTCTTGCACTTGGCTTCTACTCACCTTGGCAGAAATGAACCTTATTGAGCCAACTCTCAACGCCTCTTCGATCCTGAGTTCGTCCTCTTCTCTGGATAACTCGATCTTGGGCTCATTCATCACCTTAGATGACTCGGCTCCCCTCGGGTAATTTTGCAATAGTTCTGGCATCTTAAACTTGTGCCCTTTTGTTTACTCGACTCTTACCCTCGGCTTAGCATCTTTGGCACTTGAATTTGTACCAAGACTGCACACATCTTCCCCAGACTCATCATCTGGTTCATAATTGAGTGGATTCTTTGCCGCTCGAGGAACAACATTCCTCGTCCTCTGACTTGCCTTCATCACGAATTTTTTTCCGCTACCTTTGGCTTTCAGCTTTTCTTTGGAAGTCTTGTTCTTCTTGACTCCAAATTCTTTGATGAACTCAGCGGTTGTCAAGGCTTTAGACAACTCCTTGATTCCCTTCGCTCCAGCACTCTCTTTGCCCATGGCTTCAATCCGAACATGAAGGTGAAGAATCCATATTCTTCAGTCAAACTTAGGACTTTGAGCATGAGTTTTCTGAATCGATTCATATATTCCTTAAGTGTTCCTTTATGCCTGAGACGCCTGAACTTGGACCACGCCTTCATCCTGGTATACTGTAAGCGGATTTGCTTACTCTACACCCTCGGCTTGATGGCTTTATGTCTTGTTATCACACCAGGTCCTTTCTTGTGCTTGACTGCTTTGACACTGCAGTCTCGTCACGTTTCGATCCTGGGTTGACTACTGAGAACTTGTAGTCGCACCACTCTTGCTCCATGATTCGGCTACTTTGAAATATGTAGCCTCACCAAGTCTTTTTCCTATATTGATTGCTTGGATACTCGTAATCTCGGGGTTTCTTCCGGGTTCGGCTGCTTCAACATCAACAGTCTTGCCTCGTCTCGATCCTTGCTTGGCCGTATTGATCCCATCAATCGGACCAAGTCTTTTTCCTGGCTTGGTAGCTTTAACACTTGCGACCATGCCAATTCCCACTACTTCTCCTTCTTCCATCCTATTCATGATGGCTGTAAGGCGACGCTTCTCGAGACATCCTCTAATCAAATGAGGACTATCACAGAAGTAGCACTTCAATTTTTCCTTGCTCACCTTCTTCTTCGCACTGGACTTTTCCCGATGGCTTTCCTTAGCTACGAACAGTCGATGGCTCACCTTGGCTATTCGAAGAGCTTTCTATACATATCCCTGCTGCACCTTTTCCCGGTCTCCCCTATCATTGTCGCTATCTCTGGGCATGGGCCTGGACGACAAATCACTACTTTGCTTGTCACCTGCAAGCTCAGACAGCTTTCCGACTACAGTTATGGCCTCTGAAAGTCTCTGGGCATCTCTTTGCTCTCCCCTAAGCATCGCCTCTAGTCTAAGTCCTTCCAAAAAGGTCTTGAGCGCATCTCATTGACTCATTGCTCCCTTGCATATGAGCAGCTCCCTCTTAAGTTCATCAACTTCATTTCTCAAAGCCATCGCTCCCACTCGAATCTGACTTCTTTTGGATCATTTTTGATAATTCTTGCGAACCACCGTGTATTAGAACACATCTGTCGACAAATTCGTATCGCTGACAAAATTTTTACTATTCACTAAATTCACTATTCACGTGAATAGTAATGATTAGTAATCTCGTATAAAAACCGACAAAATTCACCATCAAAAGCTCTGATACAAATTGTTGGGAAATAAAAAACAAGAACAAGTAATTTCCCTATAACCAGATTAGTGAGAATGAGAAATAAAAGAGGAAAAATAATACCCGAAATTGATAACGGAGTTCAGCCAATTATGTCTATGTATCCGGAGTGCTGTATATATTTTACTAAAGAGAGAAAATTTATAGGTGTTTACAAAATACTCACAACTCACATGAAAGCTCTCTAATATTGAGAGAACGAAATGATTTGGGATGATTTTGAAGCTAAAGGAGCTAGGGTATTTATAGTTGAAGCTTAAGGATTAATCTTATAAATACCCTAAAGTAAATGACTAAATTTTTCTTTTACCATTGTTCAAAAAATCAACATTTTCCCCTGCCAACTTGCACCACCGAAAAATGCAGCTAAATTTGACAATTTCTGCTGAAATCCCACCGAAAGTGCTGGCCACTTTTGTTGACAATTCAACACCCATTCCACATGATTTGGAAGGAGGATGAAGTAAATGAATCCATAATGATATGATTTATCTGAACACCCCATATCTCATATAGTCCGAGAGGAAAGCCCACCAAACGGGATCATATGCCTTCTCTAGATAAACTTTCAAGGCCATCCATTTGGATTTTCATTTATTCTTCCTCATAAAATGAATAACTTCTTGGGCTACAAGAATGTTATCTATGATGTTTCGGCCAACAATGAAGCTCGCTTGGTTAAGAGTGATGATTTTCGGGAAGATGATATGGAACTTGTTGGCAATGACTTTCATCATGATTTGTAAAGTACCGTGAAGAGGCTTATGGGCCTAAAATTAATAATTAAAAAAGTCTATGAATTATCAGTTTTCGAAATGAGGACTAGAATGGTTCTATTTAGCTCAAAATCCATCTTCCTCCCATCAAAGACATCATTGAATCAATTACAAATACAACTACCCACCATGTCCCATTCACTTTGGAAGAAGTGGACATGAAACCCATCCTTCCGGAGAGACTTGAGGGTTATCTCGAAGAGAGCATTTTAATCTCCTCATTAGTGACATTGGCATTGAGAAGCTCAATATCTTGGGAATAGAGAAGGGGAAAGACTCCCCTAATAGGAAACTGGTTTGAGCTCTACCCTTCCTTGTATAGATTAGCAAAAAACTTAATAACCTCCCTTTAGAGAATATCCTCATCACAACACCAATCACCGGTGCTGATAAATCGCAAATGCGATTAGTTTCCTCTTATTAACGGCCCGATTATGGACAAACTTGGTAATTCGGTCACTTCGCCAGCCAAGTACTTCTGGATTTTTACTTCCACAGTAATTCTTCCTGATCAAGCACTTCATCAAGTTTAACAAGCAAGTTCGTTTCGACCAAAAGAAGATTATCCCTTCCAAGTCTGTGCATGGTGGCCTGAATGACAACAATTTGGTTCTTAAGGCTTTTCTTTTTCTGAATAATGTGACCGAAGACATAAATCTCCCCCTACAATCCAATGAGAGCCACTAGGGATAGGGACTTCGCTCATATCTTTCCAAAGAGCCTTACGCTTGTACTTGTCAGGGCTTTTATAAATCAAGGTGAGAAAAAATAGGAAAAGTTCATACTTGAAACTTTTGAATGGATAAATTGCAGAAGAATGGCTATAATATCAATCGAGATCGGTGGGTTCCAAAGAAGCCAAATGCCTCTAGAGAAACCAACGGCCTCCACCCTGTAAGAGAAATCAAAACCAAGTTTAGTTAAAAACCATATGCTAGTTTTATCATGTGCCATCTGCTAGTTTTAACTACTTTTCCCAACTGAGATCCATAAATGCTAATGTACATATGGGTAGGGTGAACAATGCTAATAGTGCACTGCTTTATTTAATGTCAGTTGATTTGTTGCTGTAGGTACCACCATTTACACGCCGTCAAAAAATCCAACATTAAATACCTTTATAGCTGTAGTAATCTTGTATATAATTGGCTGACCCTATTATCATATGTAATGGGTAAGGGGAGGTAGGGTAATAGGTTGCCCTCAAAGTAAGGTTGAGAGTAACTTCTGTAGAATACCTCCGTTATGAATTGCCCTCAGTGAGACTTAATCCCACGACCACAAGGTTAAGAGTCTTATGCTCTACCAATTGAGCTGGACGGGCAAGACATTTGGTATAATAGTTTCAATGAATTTTTATATTTTGTAGGTTTAATAACAAGTACAGCTTTCATAAACCAATTCCAAAGTGTGCCCCTCTAGTTTCTCTAAGGTTTACAAAACTAGCTTCAAATTTCTTTTATGTTCATTTTAGTCCATAAACTTCCAAAATCTTATAATTAAGCCATTAAGTTCTATTTTATCCAATTATGTCCCTCATATTTTAAGTTTTAGTCAATTATGTCCTCAAAGTTCAAATGCGACCAAAAATTGATCCGTTTAAACTAAAAAAAAATAGCCCTCGATTAAAGGTATAATAGCCATGTACCCTCTTCAAATATTTCTAATTTGAATTAGCGTTGAATATTTTTCTTTCGAAGATTTGTACATCCAAAATTATTCCTTTGACGCTTAATCATGACGTTCTTAAATGGACTTTGCCGCTAATTTGTATTTAAAAAAATAATTCAAGAAATTACTAAATGAAAATAAAAAAAGAACATTAGAAACTTTGTTGGCGTAAAATCAACATCGATACTATACAGTAAACAAAGAAGTGCAAAGCACGATAGCTATGGGGGGGAATAGGCAAGCGAAATTCGACACGATTCATGATTTAAAACAATAAATAATCCATAACTGTGATTAAAGTGCCAAAGTGGGTGCTTCAAGGTAAGATGATTGAGTGGTTTGATGATGAACCTTGGTAGGTTCAACAACTGTCTTCGAACCCTCAGCGACTGTTATCCCATTGATATAATGCTGTCGACAGAGAGGCATGTAAACATCCGCCCCTCCGATCAACTCCGTTTCGATCGCAGCCGTTTTCCTGAATGTGAAAAACGCCTTTTTCCCGCACATTTCGCATCTCGCCGTTAACTTTGTTACGGTGTCCGCCAGCGGAATTATGTCCAGAACGGACCCAAAGCTCTTTCTGTTGATCAAATCTAAATTAGATTCAAAAAAATTTGGTGAATTACACAGAAATTATGGAAATGAAGGATCATCACCTTAAATAATCCCCATCTAAGCCGGCTAAAATTACTGTTTTCCCATCAATGTCGGCGGCTTTGCAACAGAAGTCGTAGAGATCTTCGAAAAACTGTGCCTCGTCTATTCCGATCACATCAAGCTGCCGGTAAAAAACAAACCCAGATCTTTTTTTCCATATAATTTTAAACAAATAAATTGTATCTTTTTTCTATTGGGAAGAAAGCAGCGATCAGGATTTCACCTTTTGATAAGCATCTTCTCCTATTTCGTGCCGGAAAGATGTGAGATCCGGCAAAGCCCAACATGGAAATTTCACGCCGTCGTGAGATACCACTGAGTTAATAGCGTATCTGGTATCCTTGCTTGACTTTATCATTGCCACGTTTCTACAAATTCACTCCAAAAAAATTACTAGTAAAGTAAACGATGAGTCAAGATTATAGAAACCCAACAGCGTTGAAGTAAGAAATTACCGGCCACTGTTGCTTTCGGATTTGATCCGACGGAGGAGAGAAGTTGTCTTGCCGGCAAACATGGGACCAATAAAGACGTGAATCTCGCCGGAAGCACGTTGTTGATGGAAGGATCCCGAAATATCCTTCCCGTTTAGAGCAATGGAAGGCTTAAAAGAGGCCATTGAATTCGCTAAACTTGGGAGAAAACAGGGATCAAATTCTGTGATTTCTTCTTCTTCTTTGAAGTGGTAGTTGAGAGAGAATTGAAAAGCTTTGATTTGGAAATAAAAAGAAGCAGAAAATCGTGATTTTTATTTTGAATTGAAAAATTTTGGGTTTTTTTGGAGGGTGATTTGGATTTTTGGAGGGAAGGAGAATTGCTTGTAATTATGCTTTCTTTTATGATAAGGTGGAGGTTTGAATTGTTTTCTATATTTTAAATAATATTAAATTTTATAAATTCAAAGTTTTATATTAATATATTTTTAATTTTATAACTAAATTGAAATAACATTTTAATTATTATAAAATATTGATATTATTCCTCACATACGTACGCTTTTAAAAAAAAGTGTTACTTAAATGATTATTCACTTTTATAATGGTAAATATTAGTATAATTAGAAAAAAAGTTTGAAATTAAGTGATTTTAGCGTTTAAAAAATATTATTATTTTTTGAGATTTTAAATTCGAACATCACTTATGTAAGAGAATATTAATTGATAAATTAAGAGGTTTTACACATATATTATCCTATATTTATGGTAGATTAATAGAAAATAAACAATATTTTTAATTTTAATCTACATGAATAAGATAATATCCATAATATTTTTGTTAGATTGAATTGGGTTGATGTACAAGTGGGATAAAGGTTTTTTTTTGGCGGAATGATTGAATTGGGGGGTCGCCCCTACATATGCAGATTTTTTGTTTAATTTTTTTTTTTTCGGTTTCAAAGTTTTGTCTTGATTAATTCAGATTGACCCGCATTGCACACTTGACTTTGGTAGGTGTGTCTCTCAGCATAGATTTTCTACATACATAATAACTCGAACTTGAGATCTTACTTAAACGATATTAAACTGTTTAACACTTGAATCTAACCCTATTAATTTTGTTTAAATTTTTATGTTGCATCAGTATACAACGTAAAAAATGGATAAGAGAAACAATGACAAGTATCCACCACTATATACACAATTATACACCCATTGTATTGAATGTGAATACACATTCACAAATACATAAAAAATTTATTAGATGACTTAATATAAATAGAGAAAATAACTTCAGTGACCAAAAATCCCAGATAATATACGATTTGACCAACTTTTTTTGGATTTGCGAAAATGACCAACAAAATCGCAATGCGATCTCTAATTCGCATTGCGATCTCCACTATCGCAAATTCGAGTTTCATTTCGCATTGCGATAGTTGGAAATTGCGTTGCGATTTTCCATTTCGCGTTGCGATTTTCCATTTCGCGTTGCGATAGTTGAAAATCGCGTTGCGATTTTCCATTTCGCGTTGCTATAGTTGAAAATCGCGTTGCGATTTTCCATTTCGCGTTGCGATAGTTGAAAATCGCGTTGCGATTTTTCATTTCGCATTGCGATAGTCTACAATGTCGTTGCGATTTTCCATTTCGCGTTGCGATTTTCCATTTCGTATTGCGATAGTCTACAATGTCGTTGTGATTTTCCAAATTCGTTGCGGTAGTTAAAAAAAGATTTTGTTTCTTAAGAATTTTCTCTAAAAAGATAGTATCCGCGCGGACGTGTCGAAGACACGTATTACCACGACCACGACCACGACCACGACCACGACCACGACCACGACCACGACCCAACCCGAGACGGACGGACGGCGGCGGCGGCGCGTGAGAGTCCCCCTTGTTCTCTATCACTCAACAAGAAAGTGGGAAAGCCAAGCCTTAAATACCATTCCCAATAGTGTTTCCAATACTATGTGGGATTTGAGCATTACCAACACTTGTTCCCAATACTATGTGGGATTGAGCCTTAAATAGTGATATTATTTTTGAATGTTTTGCTTAAAATTGTAATAATCGCGATTGATTGTAGATTGACTTTTAATTATGACATATTTAATCGTATAATACTAATGCAATTGGTTGTTGATTCAGTTGTTTTAAGGTGCATGATTATTAATTGTTTCCTGAATAATCACATTGTATTGGAAACAAGTGTTGGTAATGCTCAATCCCACATAGTATTGGAAACACTATTGAGAATTGTATTTAAGGCTTGGCTTTCCCACTTCCTTGTTGAGTGATAGAGAACAAGGGGGACTCTCGCGCGCCGCCGCCGCCGTCCGTCTCGTCTCGTCTCGTCTCGTCTCGTCTCGTGGTCGTGGTCGTGGTCGTGGTAATACGTGTCTTCGACACGTCCACGCGGATACTATCTTTTTAGAGAAAATTCTTAACTATCACAACGAATTTGGAAAATCACAACGACAACTGTAGACTATCGCAACGCGAACTGAAAAATCGCAACGTGATTTTCAACTATCGCAACGCGAATTTACGTTAGTGGAGATCGCAATGCGAATTAGAGATCGCATTGCGATTTTGTTGGTCATTTTCGCAAATCCAAAAAAAGTTGATCAAAATCGTATATTATCTGGGATTTTTAGTCACTGAGGTTATTTTCTCATATAAATATCATTAAAAAATTTGTTTTAATCTATTTTCTATATATTTTTATATTTTAAAATATAATAATAACAACTATATATTTAGATCAAGTCTAGAAAAATATATGAATTAGACTAATATAATCTTTTAACATAATTTATATTTTGGATAAATTATGCATTTAGTACCTAAACTATCAATCTTGTTTCGTTTAGTACATAAACTTTCATTTGTTTCAAAACCATACTTAACGGTTATTTTTTGTTTTATTTTTAGGACCCGTCGTTAAAGGTTTAACGGGATTGTTGCAAGTGGCATTTTATGAGTAACTTACATCATTCATCACTTACTATATTCTCCTCCTATTTTGATCACTAAATTTAAAAAAAATTAATTTAAATACTCAACTTTCACATCACTTATGTTCTGATCGCTCTAATTTATTTTATTTAACATGTTTGTGACATGAAATTTAAATTATTATTTTATTAATATATAATTAAAATTTAAAAAATAGAGTGATTAAATTAGGATTCATTTGAAAGTTAGGTAATTAAATTAAAAAATTAAACTTCAATCACTAAAATAGGAGTGAGAAAATAATTAACTATGAATGATGTAATTTACTTGTAAAAAAGTGTCATGATGTAACAATTCCACCTAATTTTTTACGACGATATACCAAAACGAAACAAAAAGTAAACGTTAGATATAATTCTTAAACCAATGAAAGTTTAGGTATCGAAACGAAATAAAATTGATAAATTAAGTATTAAATATGTAATTTACCCTTATATTTTTATTTAAATTATTTTTTATTTTTTTGTCTAGGTAGACCCACCCTATAGATACATCGTTGCCAATGTCTTATACATTGTATTGAATGTGGATACATCATTAATAATGTCATTTACACATTTCTTTCCCTCGACTCTTACAAAATACGATAAATCTATTTGAAGGTTACCAAGAATGTTGGGAACAATTAGCAATACTATTACTAGTCCACCAATTGTATCGGGTACTATTAGGTGGACCCAATGAAGTCCTCTAACCTAAATGACCCATTTCCCAAAACTTGATAATCGAAAAATATGAAAAGTTTCACTTGCTGTAGTTTAATATACGATTAAGAAAATACGTTATTGAAATTATTATTATTTTTTAAACATTTCCGGTAAAAATTTTCCTAAAACATTATTGTTTATACCGAAAATGTTACTATTAGATGTTTTACCGGGTTTGTTAACATATCCGATAAAACGCTACCTAAAACATTATTTTTTTTCAACCGAAAATATTAATATTGAGTAATTTACCGGAAATATTAAAAAATAATAATATTTTAGGTAAAAAATAATTTGTTAAGAAATTTTTTACTGAAAATGTTAAAAATAATAACATTTTTGATAGTACATTTTTTAACCGTATATTAAGGTTGTTGTATGACAGAATTTCCCTAAAAACATCCATATCATCTAGTGGTGGATTCATTTTGTAGTGAGGATGGACACATGTATGTTATATAATTTAAATTTTTTAAAATAATTATCAATTGTATTTTTTAAAAATTTTATTTATGTCAACCTCATATAAAAATTTTATATTATTAATATATATTTATATCTTCCTTTAAATTTTTTTGATCCACCAAATTGTATAAACTCGTATGCGATACATGTAATGATGTATCTAGGTTTGGGTCGGGTCGTTTCGGGTTTAGATTATATTTAATTTAATTTTATTCGGGTTTGATTCAGATTTAGTTCGGGTGTATGGTAAATTAGGTCGGGTCGGGTCAGATAGTGAGTTGACTCAATTTTTGTGTAGGTCAATTTTTGGGTCAGTGACTATTGGATCAGTTGTTTTTCGATTTGGATTAATATCGGATCGATTGATTTTCGATTTGGATCAGACCATTTCAGATTGAATTAGTTATAAGTCTAATAAGGTATATGTAAAATTATTGATATATTCTTATAAGAAAATATATTCATTTGTTAATCTTATCATTTAAGCTTAATTTGATTATAAGACTAATCAAGTATATATAGATTTTTGGTTCAAATTGTTTTCGATTTAGATTAATTTCGGATCGGGTTAAATTCAGCTTAGATTGCTTTTCGGTTAGGGTTAAATTCAATTCGGATTTTTTTAGTTTGGGTTATTTTTGGTTCATATTGTTTTTTATTCATATCAAATTGGATATGGATCTATATTGAGCCAGCTAAATTTGAATCGGCCAAAGTTCGGGCCGAGTATGATTCGGCTTTCGGATCAAATTTAATCATTATATTTAAATTAATATCAAGTATTGAATCGGATAAATCAATCGGAATAATTGAATTTGATCAAATTTGCGAGGTCTAATCAGCATGGCCTTCGAGCACATAACATAGTGGATCCTTAAGTGCAAATTGAGCATTCCTTATAATTTAAATCGCTGAACTTTACTCGACTGATGCCATATGGTTGGGTTGGTCACCATACGGGTAAAATCCAAAATGAAATTAATTACTTGAGAGGTGCACAAATATTAATTGATCTATAATAAAACAGTCAGGCTAAGGACCAATTCAGAGACCAAAATTAGAGTCAACCAAGTAGATCAACAGTCTACTAAATCATAAATCTTAATCATTGATGGAAAAAACATATAGTGAAAACCAGACCGTTGGATTCAATTAGCCCCACACAATAACTCGGTGAAACTGCGTGGTATTAAAACATTCATGCATGCAAAGCAGCATCAAGGCGTGTGAAGACGCGGCTTAGGGTAAATTATCACCAATAAGTATAAAAGGAGGACAAACAAATCTGAAGCGTTTTTATCAAAAAAATCACAAAAATATTATAATATTATTTGTAGACGTTATTTCTCTAAATTTTACCGATCAAACTCTCCCATTATGTGAAATATGCTTTTGCTTGGTTGTATCAAAGGCACATTCCCTGAAGCGACTTTAAGAGAAAATGTTAATATGACACGTTTCAAAGGATGCGCATTTCAAGGTTTTTTTTTTTTTTTTGTTGACACATTAAATTCTTTAAAAGTATATTAAAAATATGATTTAAAAAATAAATTATAAGGATTAATATTATAATTTAATACATATTAATTTCATGAGTTGAAAAAATTTAACGAGGTTAGTTTATATAGGCATATTAGAGTGTTTATGTTATGTTTATTGACAATGTGAGATAAAATCTAAAATGTGTATATTAATTAAGATTATATATTTTTTATATGTATTAGATACTATTGGCAATCCATCTAATTTAGAAATGTAACCCCTAGACTCAGTCTATGCGTTTTGACTAAGTCTAGCTGATTACATTAAGATTCTCAAAGACATTTTTCTCAAAACAATATTCGATAATATATATATCATATTATAAATGACATTTATGAAAATGTATAATAAGTAACGAAAAACTAAATTCGTAAATATAAAACATGAAAGACAAGGTAAAATATTACATGAAATAATCCGGAGCATCGAAAATCAAATATCAGTAACAAAAGCAGAAAACATTATAAACGACAAATACTTCAAATAAGGTACATGTCACCATAATTAAAAACAGTTCGGAATACAGAATATTACAACAAGATACTCTGAACTAAATGTATCAATCCTCCAAGTGTCTGATACGGAGTGTTTATCCGAGAGTATCTGAAAGGGGTAAAACAGTTTGAAAGGGGTAAACCAGTACAGATCACAGTCATTAAAATATCATAGGAGTTTTTAAATTAAAAACTTTGTATCGTCCTCCAACCGAACGCCATGTGTAGATATCTAGAATTGCACAACCTAAGGGAATAACTCGGGGCCTACGAACCTACCCAAGACAATTCCTGGGGCCATTAAGACTTACCCAAGAAAATTCTCAGGGCCGCAGAGCCTACCCAAGGCTCGACTTAGGTCCATAAGGAATTACCAATCGGTGCTGAACCTATAAGAGGAATTATCAATATCGACTGAACTGCCGAGTCTTCATACCAGAACCCAGAGTTCCCCGAAGAAAACATTTTTCAGATGATAACCAATAGTAACAGAAATTCAGAGTTCAGACAGATCATCAGTTCAGTAAACCAGTATCCAGAAATCATAAGTCGGACAATCATGCTTTATATTTCAGTAAATCCAGAATCAGGTAAATCATGCAGTAGTTAAATCAGATCAAACATTGTATTTCAAATCAGAGAAAACAATCATGTGCATATGAGATTTCAAACAGATATTTAAAACATTTATTCTACACATAAGGAACACACCTCGATAATAGGGTCAGTCCGAAAGATCTATCGAGCACCAGCTTCACTAGGCTATTCGACTGACCAGGAACTTAATCAATATCAGAAAAGGGTTATATTCGGAATAATATTTTAAACAGAATAAATAACAGGGTTTCAGAACTATACGAGTATTCACGGCTTCTCGTGGACGAGCGGATCGGGAGGAACCGAGTCGAGCAGTGAAGCAGTCAGGAGATCCCCAAGTACCTTTAACATAACTATAATTAGTCTTTGACCATTCAGTTCAATTAACTAAATTAAAACACTTAGATAAATATGCATTTTTTTGGGTTCGGATTTGGAGGCATTCGGGTTCAAATTTGGCGAAACAAACTTCGGAAATGGATTCGGGACGTCAAAAAATGTCAAAATAGGTATATCCGGACAAAATCAACGACCGATCAACACTGGTCAAAGTTATGGTTAACGCTGGTCAATAGTCAACTTTTCCAAAAATAACACACTTACAGAAATTAATTACCTATTAGGCACCCTTTTAAAAATATTTACAAAAATAACACCTAGCAAAAATTAATTACCTATTAGGCACCTCTTAAAATATGTAAAAAATAGCACCTAACATAAATTAATTACGTATTAGGCACCCTTTTAAAAATATTTACAAAAATTGCACCTAACAGAAATTAATTACTTATTAGGCACCCTTTTAAAAATATTTACAAAAATAGCACCTAACATAAATTAATCACTTATTAGGCACCCTTTTAAATTTTTTTATCAATAATCTAAACCAACACCAACTATAATATGTTTTCAATCTAAAACACTGAAATATTATCCAAATTAAACGATCTGACTTTACATACGGCGGACGGACGAAACGTAAATGTCAACACAACCCACCTACTGGGTTTTGATCGGAAGGCTACGAGGAGTTTGAAATCGGGGAGGTGAAACAAGACGGTCGTTGAAATGGCCGGAATCGACAAAAATTAAAACGACGATCGGGGTTTTTGGCGTCGGCTTACCTTCTCGATTCGTCTGAACTGTGACTGATTTCGGAGCGAGGTTGGTCGGGGTCGCTTCACGGAGGCCAGGCGCACCTGATGGAGGTGGTTGTGACGTGTACCGTCGGCTAGAGTAAGGAGGAGAAGGAGGGGCGACAACTAGTTTAAATGAGGGAAAACTGAATTCAAAACACGAGGGGGTTTCTGCTATAACATGGGTAATCACCCAACAATTAATAATAAATCCACCATTTAATATTTTTAATAAAAAAACAACAAATGGCATAGTGGTTAAGCCATTGTCTGCCACTTCATTTTTTTTATTCTTAGTGCTATTATTTTATTCATATTGCTATAAGATATATTTATTTTTATATAATTTAGTTTTTTGTGTGGTATTTTATGGGGTAGAGTGTGACAATTACACCCCTCTAAAAGAAATTTCGTCCTCGAAATTCATCAGAATCGGATATGAAACTGAGATTAGTTTTATGATAGATCATTTAATGAACAAAGCTAATTTGATAATATCAGAATATCTTAATAGACTAGGAGCGAAACAGGGTCTTGGATCTGAACAATATATATACCTGCAGCAGTATTGAACTCAAATCGTCCTCTACTCTGTGATCGGGCTCTACTGTCAACCCTAGAAATATATCCGGAAGTCCTACCCTGACTATGACTTATATCTGGAGTCTGAACAAAGGTCTAATAAAGTATAGGAGTCTGAACAGGTGTCTGATTGACAGGAGCTGGATATGGACAATTTCTCAAGAAATGCTTGCTAGATCCACAACGAAAACAGGTACCCATCTTCTTACGACACTCTCCTCCATGTTGATTTCCACATAACTCACAACTCAAATTTGGAGTGGAATATGCAGAATCCTCTCGACTAGCTACATTATATGGAGGAGATGCAGGCCTCGAATCAGACCGACTCATCTAATGAAGAATAGTACGAGATCTTTTATCAGGGTGTGCAGAAGGTACAGACTGACCAAAAGGCTTCTTAGATCGTTATATACCTACTCTATCACTGTCAGGTGCAGAAGCCTCGACTTCCTCCGCGTCTTTTGCTCTCCCAACTACAATATCGAATACCTCATCCTGATGAGTAACTATCTAACGACGTAACTCAAATCGAAGTCCCTGAGCAAACTTTCGACATCTATCTCTCTCGGTAGATACCAAACTGAATCCATACTTCAGTAATTTTAAGAACTCAATCTCTTACTCAGAAACAGTCATATCTCCCTGAACCAGGTCCTAAAACTGCTGTCGTCTCTGAGTTAAATAACGCTCTCCCAGGAAACGACTCATAAAGCGCTCTCTAAAGAAATCCCAGGTCAAACGATCGGTCTGAACACTACTAACTACTGACTCCCACCAGGTGTGAGCATTCCCATTCAACATAGAAATTGTTCCTAAATAATGTCGATGTATATCTAAACCTAACTGATCCATGCGTCACTCAGTATCACTAAGCCAATCCTCGGCCTCAGTCGGATCTCCACCAGTAAGGCCAGTAAACATTCTGACTCCATTTGCAATAAGGGTCTGAGAGATAGGAATCTCGGGTACAACGCAAGCAGTTCTGACAGCTCCCTGAATCATCTGAAGAAATTGTCTACCAAAATTCTCATCTAATGCAATTCTGGTAGACTCGGGCTTAGTACCAGTCACTCCTTTTATCGGAGCAGTCGTTGAGGTCGTAGGAGCAGGATCATCTATCGGAGGTGGGGATCTATACGTATCTCATCTACCAGGTCTACAAATCTAGCCACTCTGCCACAACCACGGCTAGTTCGACGAGAACGTCTAGCACTCATCTTGATGAATCTCGAGTTTACTACATAAAATAAAACCTAGGGTTAAATTGGCACTTGGAGTATCGAACACAATTAAAACCATAAAACATTTTATGACATGACCTTAGTGACTTGTTTTGTAAAACATTTCAAAACCATATTTTCAGTTTGGACTCGTACATAGTTCGAGGTTTAAAAACAAAAAGCTCTGATACCAATTAATTGTAACCCCTAGACCCATCCTATACGTTTCGACTAAGTCTAGCGGATTACATTAAAGATTCTCAAAGACATTTTTCCCAAAATATTATTCGATAATATATATATCATATTATAAATGACATTTATGGAAATATATAATAAGTAACGATAAAACTAAATTCGTAAATATAAAACATGAAAGAGACCAGGTAAAATATTACTTGAAATAAATCCGGAGCATCGAAAATCAAATATTAGTAGCAAAAGCGGAAAACGTCATAAACGATAAATACTTAAAAAATAAGGTACATGTCACTATAATTAAAAACAGTTCGGAAGACAAAATATTACAACAATATACTCTGAACTAAATGTACCAATCCTCCAAGTGCCTGATACGGAGTGTCTATCCGAGAGTATCTGAAAGGGGTAAAACAGTTTGAAAAGTGAGCTAGAGGCTCAGTGTGTCCCAATAGTGCAGAAATAAAAACATACAGTTATGATTTTTTAAAACCAGTACAGATCACAGTCATTAAAATATCATAGGAGTTTTTAAATTAAAAACTTTGTATCGTCCTCCAACCGAACGCCATGTGTAGATATCTAGAATTGCACAACCTAAGGGAATAACTCGGGGCCTACGAGCCTACCCAAGACAATTCCTGGGGCCACTAAGACTTACCCAAGAAAATTCTCAGGGCCGTAGAACCTACCCAAGGCTCGACTTAGGTCCATAAGGAATTACCAATCGGTGCTGAACCTATAAGAGGAATTATCAATATCGACTGAATCTGCCGGAGTCTTCATACTAGAACCCAGAGTTCCCCGAAGAAAACATTTTTCAGATGATAACCAATAGTAACAGAAATTCAAAGTTCAGACAGATCATCAGTTCAGTAAACCAGTATCCAGAAATCATAAGTCAGACAATCATGCTTTATATTTCAGTAAATCCAGAATCAGGTAAATCATACAGTAGTTAAATCAGATCAAACATTGTATTTCAAATCAGAGAAAACAATCATGTACATATGAGATTTCAAACAGATATTTAAAATATTTATTCTACACATAAGGAACACACCTCGATAATAGGGTCAGTCCGAAAGATCTATCGAGCACCAGTTTCACTAGGCTATTCGACTGACCGGGAACCTAATCAATATCAGAAAAGGGTTATATTCAGAATAATATTCTAAACAGAATAAATAACAGGGTTTCAGAACTATACGAGTATTCACGGCTTCTTGTGGACGAGCGGATCGGGAGGAACCGAGTCGAGCAGTGAAGCAGTCAGGAGATCCCCGAGTACCTTTAACATAACTATAATTAGTCCTTGACCATTCAGTTTAATTAACTAAATTAAAACACTTAGGTAAATATGCATTTTTGGGGGTTCGGATTTGGAGGCATTCGGGTTCGAATTTGGTGAAACAAACTCCGGAAATGGATTCGGGACGTCGAAAAATGTTAGAATAGGTATACTCAGACAAAATCAACGGCCGTTTAATGGCTGATCAAAGTTATGGTTAACGCTGGTCAACAGTCAACTTTTCCAAAAATAGCACCCTTACAATAATTAATTACCTATTAGGCACCCTTTTAAAAATATTTACAAAAATAACACGTAACAGAAATTAATTACGTATTAGGCACCCTCTTAAAATATGTAAAAAATAGCACCTCACAGAAATTAGTTACGTATTAGGCACCCTTTTAAAAATATTTACAAAAATAACACCTAACAGAAATTAATTACTTATTAGGCACCCTTTTAAAAATATTTACAAAAATAACACCTAACATAAATTAATCTCTTATTAGGCACCCTTTTAAAACTATTTATCAATAATCTAAACCAACACCAACTATAATATGTTTTCAATCTAAAATACTGAAATATTATCCAAATTAAACGATCTGACTTTACATACGGCGGACGGACGAAACGTAAATGTCAACACAACCCACCTACTGGGTTTTGATCAGAAGGCTACGAGGAGTTTGAAATCAGGGAGGTGAAACAAGACGGTCGTTGAAATGGCTGGAATTGACAAAAATTAAAATGACGATCGGGGTTTTGGGCGTCGGCTTACCTTCTCGATTCGTGAGAACTGTGATCGATTTCAAAGCGAGGTTGGTCTGGATCGCTTCACGGAGGCTAGACGCATCTGATGGAGGTGGTTGTGACGTGCATCGCCGGCCATAGTAAGGAGGAGGAGGAGGGGCGACAACTAGTTTAAATGAGGGAAAACTGAATTCAAAACACGAGGGGGGTTTTTGCTATAACATGGGTAATCACCCAACAATTAATAATAAATCCACCATTTAATATTTTTAATAAAAAAACAACAAATGGTCATTTTTTTTTTATTCTTAGTGTTATTATTTTATTCATATTGCTATAAGATATATTTATTTTTATATAATTTTGTTTTTTTGTGGCATTTTATGGGATAGAGTGTGACAATAGTTATCAATTTTCTTCTAAAATAACAAACAAGTTATATCACACTTACATAATATCAGCAGGGGTCTACAAAATTACATAGTTATGATAATCTTTTGTAGGATCAATCTATAGATGAATTTTCATTTCCCCACATTTAAATTATATAAACCTCACATCTTACATGTTCATGGCACCAAATAATATTTTTTTTCATATTTTTATATTAAATTCAACTTAAATTCTATATCTAATTAATCATATTCAATATATAATATATTTATATGTAAATGATTTTTTTAATTTGTGTTACATAAATTTTTTGAACTCATAATTTAAAAAATAAGTATTTAAATATATTAACATATAAAAATATCTAATCTTAATTAATAAACCTTAAAAATAAATATTAATCTAATGTAATTTAAATAGTGTATAAGTAGATTAATTAGATATAGATATAAAAAAAAGATAAGAAATACATCTTTTAGCTTTTATCCCACATTGTTAAGAAACATAATAACACTTCAGTATGTCTATATAAACTAATCTCATTATACTCTTCAACTCGTGGAACTATGTATTAAATTATAATGTTAGTTCTTATAATTTTATTTTTTAATTTTTTAAAACATATTTTTAATACGTTTTTAGGCCTTGGAAGGCGCATTCCTTGAAATGTGACTTCTTATGTGGTGTCATGTCAACATGTCCCCTAGGAGACGCGTGTATTTCACGTAATCGTTTTATTATAAAAATGTTAGATCGGTAAAATTTAATAAAACGATGTTTAACATATAATATTATAATATTTGAGTGATTTTTAAGTAAAAAGGGCCAAATCTATCCTACCAAATTTATTAGATCAAATAACTCATTTTTTTTACTAAAATAACATTTTAGTTTTCACATTTTCAGGAAAAAAACCGTACAAAATTTGTAAAATATAAAACGAAAATAGAAAAGAAAATAAAGTTGCGTTTGAGATACTTCTTCTATATATATCATCGTCACAAGAGTCTTTGCAAAGTTTTTTTTCTTCTACTTTTATTTGTTGTATATATTGGATATAAATTTATATAGATACTAAATTTGAATATTGGGTTGCAAAGTAAAACAAATGATTTAGATTTTATTGTAAGAAAGAATAACATTGTCGGGGGAAAATACTATTATTTGAAAGGGGCAAGGGAAATAGAAGAGAAGAAAGAGGATGATATTAACCTATTGTATTCTTATTCTAATTGTGTTAGGAATTACTGTCTTTTCTGCTTCGTGAAGTTAAGATAGATATTTAGAGATTAAGGAAAATAAAGAGAACACAAGAGTATAATTCTCCAATTTGGAAATTCTTCCATTATACAAAAGAATAGTAGGATTACAAGGATTTGTTCACAAAATTTGACTCACGTTTGGTGGCTCACTCAAGCTTGAGGATAAAGAATTCCCAATTATCTCTCTTCTCTTTCAAAGAAACTATCTAACTCTCTTAGTATTTTTTGATTTCTTGAATGGTTAAGAATGAAGTCTCCCACCCCTATTTATACTACTCCACCTCCACAAAGATTATTTACATCTAAGGGCGGAGATTAATTATCTAGAATGCTCCATATATCCTAAGAAATTCTACACTCTTCCATTTCCTTTCATATTCTTTCATACACTTCCATAAGATTCCACACATCTCCAAATTATTACATAGAATTTCACATTTTTTTTCACAAGCTTATAGAGAGTTATAAACTTCTCTAGAAATCTCCAAAATATTCTAGAAAATTCTACATTCTCTAAAAAGTTTTAAAATTTTCTAGAACCTCTGCTTGGTCCAATTGTATTCCTTTTTGACGAATATGGATTTGGGTTACCGATCTTCCGCTTAAGTTTCCAATAAATATTTACAGCTATATCCAGCTTCCGATTGATCATCTATCTCGCTGTTTTATTTTGTTTTTTCCCCTTCTCATTTCTGGATTCCAGGTGAAGTTAAATTCTGGATAGGTCGGTTAATTGATCGCGGTCGTGGAAGGATCTGTTTATTTCTAAATTTTGAATCAGCGAGAAAATTTTCATTCTGTATTCAAATTACGCTTTTGTTGTTAGAATAAAAGGTATCGAATTGTATCTGCATTATCCTGATTGGATTGCTTTATTAAAAAAACAGGCAATTTTGATTCTTTATTATTAATTTGATTCCATTCTATTGGTTTTTTATTGGTCTTTCTTGTTGCAATGGGATTTTTATGGCTTGCATCCAGTTATGAATTTGGCCTTTTATGTTAAAGTTGGCATTTGATTTCAATTTGTGGATAATTCGGACTTTGTGATGACAGAACGAGTTTTTCTGTATTGTAGAAAAATATGTCTGGGAATGGTAAGCTATTTATTGGTGGTATATCTTGGGACACCAATGAAGAGCGTCTGAAGGAGTATTTCAGTAGTTTCGGCGAGGTGGTAGAGGCAGTGATCAAGAAGGATCGGACCACAGGACGTGCTCATGGTTTTGGTTTCATTGTTTTCTCTGACCTTGCTGTCGCCGAGAGAGTCATCTTGGAGAAATACAATATAGATAGCAAGATGTTAAGTTGCTGATCTTTAAGCATTACTTAATAGATTAATGTCGTGCAATATACTATTCATTGATGTTATTATCTTAATTGAAGCAAGAAGTGTAGATTCAATTGCTTTTTTGGAGTTATGAACCCGATATTGTAATGGCAGGAATTCGTAAAATTCCAGTTCTGAGTCCAACTAAATTTCAATATTGTGCAAGAGTAATTGTGCTTCCTCTTTTTTATCTTTTTCT